GGAAGATTGAGACAAGGAGAAGAAGAGGAGGAGGAGAAGAAGGAGGAGGAAGTCATTCTGCGCGATTTTCCCCTCATCACGTCACGGACTGATACACGTCGCGAGCGATAATCGCGATGTGGGATTACGAGAGGGCCTCGTGCACGATTTCTTTGCGACTGAATTATGCGAAACGACGTGTTCTCTCGCACGCCATCTGCATCCGGGCAAAATGACCGACACGTCCGAATCGCAAAGAGGTGAAAAATGATGTCCCGAGAAGTCATATTTTAACTTTAACGCGTGTGTTCGTGCGAGAATTATTATATTATTAATGTTGAAAGAAACGCCATAAAACAAATGCCAAAAAGAAAATAACGCAGCGTTCGTGACTTTGGTACATAATGAGTTAACAAATCACAGACCATTCTTTGTATACTCGGCTATAAATTTCAGTGACTGCTTTTACTTCTTTTGAATGCACTGTTAAAAAAGAAAATATTAAAGGATCCAATCGAAATCAATTCCTTCAGTTAAATAACAATGTTGTTTTTGATCTCCAAATTTGTAAAAAAATATTATTTTAATATAAAATATGTAGTTAAAAAAAACGATCAATCTATATATGTAATCAACCTATTTCTGTGGTCGAATTATTTGAAATTAGTTTCAAAATAAACAACATATATTAACATATGACATGAACTTAATAGATAATTAAATTAAGGAGGTTCTCACTTTCTAATCAATAACCAGTTTATTCATAATAATATATAAAATAATCAAAATAATGGAATAAAAAGATTACTAACAATATTTTATGCCATTATATATAATTATTCTTAATTTTATGTTACTAAATATTTTCAAAATGATAAAATAAAAGTTGTAAGATGCTCATTTGATTTACATGCATCGTCCATTTCACATATATTCTAGCTTTTTTCATTGAAGAATATAAATTTCTTGTAAATTGTACGATTAGTTTAAATATAACTTTACGAGGACAAACTTAAGTGTTTACTTTATAGTTAACAATTTTTAATTTGCTATCATGTACGTAGTGTCTCAATTTAAAATAGAATAACTATAAAAAAAGGTTATATCTTCAACTTGTAATGTAAAATTCTATAAATTTATAATTAAATATCATTAAAATGCTACGGTAAAAGTCAATAAAATTTTTTCTAGATATTATTGATATTATTAACTTTTGTATTACACGTATTTGTCTTGTATTTCGTTAAACGAGACAATCTCCTTAAATTTAAGCCAAATTTAATATATTTCTTGATCTAAATTGTTTAACTTCTTTGTTATAGTTAACTTAACGACATATTAAATAGAAGCAATGGCGATCTATAGAAATAATTAAAAATAACTCAAATTGAGTATAATTTAACATTAATAATGTATGTTTGTTTGTTTGTTTAAAATTTATCAAAAAAAAATTAAATAAACAAAAACAGAGCGGATTAATAAACCTGGCACAATGTAAGTGCAATTACAACTGTATATAAATTATAAGTATTGTCTAAAAGTTTCGATTTAAATTAAATCATCTTCAGAACATGACTAACTTACAAATAGACGATACAGATAGAAGATTTGATCTACAAATGAAGAAGGGATAATTAAACCTATATTATGCTTGCTTAGAGTTTCATGGTAAAACACAAAGAGCAGGCAGTCGCTTCGATACAGCCCTGGTGAAAGGGCCGAGGTTTTTATTGACCTGTCCCAGCAGCTTATACACTCTCGTTAAAAAGAGTAGTAAGCCCGGCGCATATCAAAACGCCACTTGCGCTTCTGTTTTATGATATACTCTTTCTTTCTCGTTCGTTTGTTGTGCATCACAAAACGAGAAGCACTGTGCCTTTTGACAAGTTGTGCACCTCACCGAAAGTTCTTGCAATTTTTCTCCACAGGGAGTCTCGCTCTGCGTTTCATTTGGTTTTCGTACAATTACGCACGGTAATCATTTTATTATAATTATCCTTCTCGTCACCGAAAGGCGAGTCGATATCTTAAATATGTGAGAATTCTTACACTATAAAAAATAAAATGTTAATTTTAATATAAAAACGTACAGGAGCCTTTCTGAAACATGCAAAAATATGAAAATTAACACAAAAAATGTTGTTCTTAATATTTTTGCATGTCTCAGAAACTCCGCTATATATCTTTAAGTTAAAATTAACATTTTATTTTTTACGGTGTACC